GTTTTACTTATTTATTTTTAGAAAGTCTTTTGTTTGAATGATGTATTTTAACAGTCTTTTGTTTTAATGATGTATTTTAACATATTCTTTTGTTTTAATGATGTATTTTAACACAGTCTTTTGTTTGAATGATGTATTTTAACACATTCTTTTGTTTGAATGGTGTATTTTAACACAGTCTTGTTTGAATGATGTATTTTAACACAGTCTTGTTTGAATGATGTATTTTAACACAGTCTTGTTTGAATGATGTATTTTAACACAAGTCTTTTGTTTGAATGATGTATTTTAACACAGTCTTTTGTTTGAATGATGTATTTTAACACAGTCTTTTGTTTGAATGGTGTATTTTAACACAGTCTTGTTTGAATGATGTATTTTAACACAGTCTTGTTTGAATGATGTATTTTAACACAGTATTTTGTTTTAATGACGTATTTTAACACAGTCTTCTGTTTTAATGATGTATTTTAACACAGTCTTTTGTTTTACTTATTTATTTTTAGAAAGTCTTTTGTTTGAATGATGTATTTTAACAGTCTTTTGTTTTAATGATGTATTTTAACATATTCTTTTGTTTGAATGATGTATTTTTATTTGAGTAAAAGTTAAAATTCTAATCAGTTGATCGTGTATCATTTCAGGTGTCAGTAAATTGTAATGTTTTAGTAAATCAGAATGATTACTATCTTAATAAATAAAATAGGAATGTAAATATAGTCCTAAGTTTGGAAACTGAACGCGCGATTAACATTGATAATGAAAAAGAAAATTTAAAAAACAACTTGAGAGTTTTTGTATGTTGTTGAGAGTTAATTTGTTAAAAACTTGTATATTGTCCATTTATTTAAAAAGTCTAAAACCGAAATACGTAAGCATGAGTATTTTGAATATGTTACATTGCATTCTTATTTTGAAGCTCTATAAATTCATCAAGTAGCTGCGCGTTTCGATAATGAAAAATTCAAACATAATACTACGATTTAAAATTTTTGAAGGCTTTAGGAACTTTTAGAATTTCTGCTATTAACGATCATGTGAGCCAATTATGAGTCTAATTTCGTTTGTTTTAATGATAGTTTTAAATAGGACCTGTACTTAAATGTAGCACCAGTAAAAATGATAAAACCGTATAAATCACAATAAAAGCTTAAATTTGAAGCTATTGTTTAAATTAGTTACTTTTGTATTATCAAGAATATTGAATATTGTATTAGTAAGAATATTGAGGGGTAAAAATAATACAGACGTTACTAAAGCTACATTTTGAAAATTAAATAATTTTCATTTATAAACAATGATAATAGGTAGGCAAACAACGAGTGAATTAGTATGATACAGCTCTTTTTAATAAGAGCTCAGATCTTTAGCGAGCATTGATTCGTGTGAACTGAATATTTTTCTCCTTATATTCCGCCTATCTCCGGTCTTTGTAGTAACGCCTGAATGTTTGGAAACGAGTCAAACCGGAACAAGTAGCCTAAATGCATTGTGGGCGAAATAGCGTAAAAACGAACATAACTTTACGTCTTCCCATATCTTGTTAGTAAAACTATCTTTGTTGTCTAATATACACTTGACAGCCATTGTTGTCCGCTTATCGTTGAAATTAAATCAGTATTTTTCTTTCATCTACTGAACATATTCGTCAACATCCATTTTGTAAACAATAATACCGGAAATGGACACCGGATATTATGATTGCGCAAAATCTACAGTTCTGTGGTTTTCATTGGTCACCTGTTAAAGAAAGCAGCTGACTCGTATTTTTTTTTTTTTTTTTCCCCTTATGCGCATTCAAGCCATCGTAAATCGATCGTAGTGATATAGAGGGCGCTGCGTTATTCGTGAATTGGTTCTTAGGGGGAATCTATTTGGAATGTCGTGAACGTAAGCTACTAATCAGTTGCATTCGGTAACCCAGACAGTTTTGCATTTGTAATATAACATTTAAATTTAATGATAATTTGGAAAATATCTTTATCCATATATCCAACTTAATGTGCCATGTTGTTTGTAAATATGCAATACAAAATATATAGCCCGTTAGATTCCTTTCTCATGTCTTGAGTTTTGAAAGTAAATATAAGGCACTGTAAAAAACAATAATTTATCGAATAGGCCAGATGTATTAGGCTAACGTAGTTGTGTGCTATACGAGTACTTAAGTCGAATTTATAGAAACTGCAAGCCATTTTGTTATTCTCTAGTAGAAAGCACACTTGCAGAACAAATGTTTGCACAAATCACGTACTTAGATATTCTATATATTAGTTGAGTGTGCAAATTAGCATTTGTTCTTGTTCAGCTGACGTCACTTTAGAGATATAGGTAAAGTAAAATATATGGACTTTCTAGAGTACTTGTAGGATCTGTAAATTATACTGTCTTTGTCTAGTAGATGTCACATTAGAGTAACATTTACACTTTAAACTACGCCATTTTAAATTCCTGCTGAATATTTCTTAATCACTTCGTTAATACCCACATCTGTATCTATCTTTGTGTATTAGGTTTATCCCATACGATGTAAATATTGATAATTATTCACATCAGATAGTTTTGTGCAGAGTATTTATTGAACTGTGTTAGAATTATTGATACATAACTATTATCACAGATTTAAAAATTTGTTTTTACAGGTGTAGATACTATTCTTTTGGTAGAAAATTAATATGCATATTATCTATACACTTGTTGATATTTGTTACAGTATTATAGTTGTGAATATTTCTGTAAATAAGAAATGAAAAGTATTTTTCGTTTCTTCGTCAAAGAAATGATGTTGTGATAAATATTAGACCGTGAAACGATAGCTTTAATTAATCAATCTGTGGATTGTGTATTACATTAAAATAAACTTCAAATACGTTTTCAAAATATGACAGGTAGAAGTTATTTTTATGTTCTAACACATTTACTTGAAGGATGTCACATCAAATTTTAATTAACACGAAATAAATAATTTATGCGAATAAGGGGGCCAAGTTAATAAATCCGAGATCGGTGCTAAACTCGTGTGGACCCGATATTTCCAAACCTTTTTCAAACACTAAACAGCGTGTTGTTTTTTTTGTTGTTGTTGTTGTTGTTTTTTTCAACTGTAATAAGTTTGCAGTTATAATCACTCCGACAATAAAAATTGAAATCCACAATAATATTTACGAGTGAATATTAAGAATGATGCACTGTATTGTCTAAAACTCGAAAAAAAACTAATTAGGTTATTTCATGTTTGTATTTAGGCTTAGGCTACCAGTATGTATAAATTTCTCATTATTGGCACAAAGTAATTACATAACAATTTAATTTAATTTGAATATTAACGTTTTCTGTTTACAAAATGACATAGTCCTGTGATTATTGTTAATAGTAAGTACAGTATAAATGCTGCAAAATAAATACAAAAATTGAATTTGTTGTTCTGGTTTATTATGACTAATAACGTCTATGTTTTGTGTGAATATTTTCTCTATAAATTTAAACTTCTGTAAATTGTATTGTTTAGATTGGCAGACAAATGAATGCTATAATACTGTATAACAAAAAATGTTTTTTAATAAACAGAGCTGTGGATGCTTATTAGTGCAAACAAAACCCACAAATTAGTTATTTTATCAGAATACTATTTAAAATGTTTTAACGGCACCGAGAGATAATCTCAAACTCAAGATAATATCAGATTTCATGTTACAACAGTTCCTAACAGAAGTCACATACATGTAAACTTAAATATTATGACCTACTGAGTTTCAGTCAATCAATACAATGAGTTAAGATGAGTGTTTTGGAATATTTTTTACTCAAGGTACATGTAACATTTATCAATTCCCAATAACTACTGTTACATTCTGGAATTGATAAATGTTACATGTACCTTGATGAGGCGTATTGTATTTCTTATTTTAACTTAAATTCTGTTTATTTTATTAAAATCATACCAAGTTTTAAAGGAGTTTTTAAAATTTCGATCACCATCATACACGTTACATACATACATTGTAAAAATAAAATAGCTTCAGCGCAATGCATTTTAGTTAGACGTGATATGGCAGTTGTGTTCTTTAGTTATACGTTAGAAGTGGTATTAAGCCTAACTGCTTGTGAGATAAAATATGTTAGAAATAAGAGAAAACAGTGTTTTCAACTTTC